GATTAATGAATATCGCGATTCTTAAATTTCACATTTAGTCAAACAAAGCGAACAATAACTAGGGCTGATTGTATAAAGGCTGGTTGAACTTCGCTTGTAGTTAACAACTGGATTAAGGTATAAAAATGGTTAAAATTTGACGTTTTGTCAAACTTCAACCAATTAGGTATCTTAACCCATTGATATAATCCAAACGAGGTTTAATCTGCTTTATACAACCGACCCTTATGCCCGTCAAGAATCAAGACGGGATTCATGAAACTAGATTAGCAAATACTATCTTAAATAAACAACCAGTTATAATCGATCATTTGCGCATGAATCTACCATTATATCAACTATTGGTGACGTTTTCTGTCAATCCCAGAATTAAGTCTTCGATCTCGGATCAATCTACGAGTTAGTACGGGTATTAGTGTCCGCTTTACTAACAATGACACTTACTAAAAATCTTATATTGCTTGGCCACCTTGGATTATAAGGTACGGTGCAATTCCATTCTGGTGCTAATCAATGATTAACTTTGACCATCGTTTATATAATAAAGATTTATTTTTATTGTTTAATGTGTACAGAATATGCTAAACAAGATTAGTTCATATTTTATGAATTTAATATTAACATAAGCACATATTTTAACAAATGCTGTCGGTCTCTGTATTCCCATTATGTATATTCTATCGTGACTTTATCAACATGTTGTCCCAACATCTGCATAGGTAATTGAAGGTTTTTCTTAGAAAAATCTGTATTAGGATCATAGGTAAATACAGGATTGCGGATTAATGTTCAAAGAAGGTGCCGCTCTTAGTAAAATATTGTTTACAGGTAGTGAGATTTTTGACCTTTTTCTGTAGATAGGAACTTATACCTACTACGGTAATTACTAACTTCTGCATTTTAAACCAAGAAAGAATTTCTTTTAGTACAAACAAGGTAAATGTGTATTACTGTTTGTGGGGGTAGCAAATTATTCATAAATAGGTACTAATTTACGACCTGCTTTAATTTTGCTATGACATGACGTCAGATAATGTGACGAAACGCCAGTGAAACAAAGTTACACACTTTAGTTTTATACGCACTGAAATAACTTGCATTGGCGAAGAATAAAAATAATGAATTCTACCACCGTGCCACCCTTTGAATTTGTGTTTATCTCGATAATTTCGGTGATTTGACAGTTTTTGATAACACGATACCAATGTAAGTGCAGTAAAAACGCTTAAAATATTTACACCTAGGTAGCAAATTGAAATAAAAATATAGTTTATGAGAAAAAACGGATGTATTCCACTATGGGAAGATGTGAATATGGAGTAAAAAGTAATTCATTTATTAAAATATGTGCTTATGAACATTAAATTCATAAAATATGAACTAATCTTGTTTAGCATATTTTGTACACATTAAACATTAAAAATAAATCGTTACTCAATTACATAAACGATGGTCACAGTTAATCATTGATTAAATGTACCAGAATGGGATACACCTTACCTTATAATCCAAGGTGGCCAAGCAATATAAGATTTTTAGTAAGTGTCATTGTTAGTAAAGCGGACACTAATGCCCGTACTAACTCGTAGATTGATACGAGATCGAAGATTATTTCTGGGATTGACAGAAAACGTCACCAATAGTTGATATAATGGTAGATTCATGCGCAAATGATCGATTATAACTGGTTGTTTATTTAAGATCGTATTTGCTAATCTAGTTTCATGAATCCCGTCTTGATTTTTGACGGGCATAAGGGTCGGTTGTATAAAGCAGATTAAACCTCGTTTGGATTATATCAATGGGTTAAGATACCTAATTGGTTGAAGTTTGACAAAACGTCAAATTTTAACCATTCTTATACCTTAATCCAATTGTTAACTACAAGCGAAGTTCAACCAGCCTTTATACAATCAGCCCTAGTTATTGTTCGCTTTGTTTGACTAAATGTGAAATTTAAGAATCGCGATATTTTACCGTTCAACCAACCTTTTTTTTTCAAATTAAAAAAACGCGATAAATTCTTCTATACTTCCGGTGTAAAGATTTACGAATTTCAGTTTATCAAAACACAGCAACTATCAAATAGGGACAATTGATATTACTATATTAAGCCTAATGACATCAAAATATAGATCAAAACTAATAAACCAGTAAAAGAAATTTCAAAATCCGGAAATAAATGACAAAAATATATTATTTACGTTTAGGTATTCAGCGCGGAACGGCAGTGTCGGTGACGTCATTTTACGTAATTCCAGGAAATACGATTTCCCATATAAACAAAAATTTTTAAAGGCGATTCATAGGCGATACCACTCTTTTTTGATCGCATGCTCAAGACATGCTCTTAGCAAACTAGGTGAAGTGACGTCCCGAAATTATTATTCCAATCGCAACTTTAGTCTTGTAACTTTGGGATTTGTGGAGTAATTTTATTGATTCTATCACATTTTTGTTTCATTTTACTTAAATTTTCATAATTAATTTATACCAAAAAGCTGGAAACTTCTCCATTGTCGACGATGTGGTCGCTGTCGGCGTAGTGTCCCTAGTAATTTTTTTTGCGAATAGTCGGCGTTGTGGGCACGTTCGGTCTAGTGTCCCTTGCACACTTGTCGGCGATGTGGGCATGGTCGGCGTAGTGTCCCTTATACACTTGTCGGCGAAGTGGGCATGGTCGGCGTTGTGTCCCTTGTACACTTGTCGGCGATGTGGGCATGGTCGGCGTTGTGTCCCTTGTCCACTTGTCGGCGATGTGGGCATTGTCGGCGTAGTGTCCCTAGTCGGCGATATGGACCATCCAAAAATCGGGTCGGCGATGTGGGCATTCGGCGTAGTGTCCTAGACCCGTATAAACCCACCACTGGAACGGTAGTGTTGGCGGAACGGTACGAAATCTCAAGCGGCATCAGGAGTTTGTCGATCGTTGTTCCTGGGCAAGGACGGTCCGTTACGGTGTCGGACATTTCGGAAACCACAAGTAAATTAGGTGGAGGCACACGGTCAATTCCAGAGTTCGGAAGGTCGGTTACTGGCGAAGAAGCTAAAACAAAATTACGGCACACGAAAACGGCAGTCGTTTTCCCAAGAGGAAACGAAGCACAAACCATTAACGGTATCTATTAGCTACCAGCAAGCGAAACAAAGGAAAACTAATCCCCTTTATAATTAACGAAAACAAAAATATCAAGCTCACCCTGAATTTGAACGCTGCGGTATCGTAAAATGTTATAAACTAAATGTGACTAAGTGCATGAATTCAAAAGCGAAAAACGCAACAGATGCCTTAAAAATCATTATGTTACCTTATATAGAATTCCCAAAATGCGGAAAGGGAACATCGAATATTAACCAGATCGACGTACTCTTATAATAACGCTCAAAAATTAAACTTTCTTTAATTAATTTCACACTTTCCTGTTATCATAGAAATCTGGGACTAGTCTTAAAATTTAAGTTAATTAACCGCGGTTCATTTGACACTGAACATGATCCATTTTGATGACGTTTGCTGTAACACAAATAATAATTAACACCGGTTAATTATAGTCACTTAATTGACCGGGTTGAAATTTCTAAATTTATTTTGTTTATTTATTTATTGTCCCCCTTTGTTCTGGGCCCTCAACAGGTTTTCGCCCAAATACAAAGTTGACAGAATGCTTTTTAGAAGTGCCCTTGCAGAAGGTTCTGTAGTACTCCGGGATATTTACCTTACGAATTAGAAAACTGCAGGAAAACCCAATCCGGAGTAGCCGGCAGAAAGCTCGAAACTGATCTAATGAAATTATCATCTCTGCCACAGATGAAAAATGCTTACCTCATCCCAGGTTCGAACACCCGATCTCCCGGTTATGTAGCCCAACGCTCTACCACTGAGCTACACAGGCGGTCTAAATCATAAGCCCACTTATACTCCTTTTGACTTGAATGTTTAGGTCAATCGCAAAGGTCAGCGTTCAAAATGGAAAACCGGAAAGGAAGACATCGAACTTGGAATCGTTGTAGTCGTACATAAAGACAATAACACAACCACTGCAAGGGTAGGGCGAAACATCGAAGTATTAGGTACGTAACGACCAAGGTGTCGTTTGAGTTATGACCATCAAAACCCGTGGTTGACAAATTAAACACGAAACAATGCTTTTTTAGATTCTTCTTGGAAACTGTAGAACGAGTGGTTACTGAGGTAAATCCTGACTAATTAATTACAAAATTTATTATTTGCACGGTATTTAATTTATTCACTACAGTCTATTAAATACCAGTTTTAGTATATTTCATTCAAATAAAAAAATCCGGATGGTTTTGTGGAGGACTGCGTTGCCCAAAAAGTACTAGAAATCGGATTGGAGTGAGTGTATGGACAGAACATATTTAAAACTCAGATTACACCATATTGTACAGATGTATATAGGCTGCATACAACTGGTAGTTGGTCGTGCAATAGAACGTTTACTTTATTCCTTCTTAATGTAATAATGTAGAACGTTAAGTATGGGTTGTAACAATTTTATTTTTGCAAATACATATGAATTATTTTTGGTTGAGTATCACTGTAACTATTGTTCGAGGACCACTGTATTTTTGTACATTGTTTAGCATTTCGTCGTGGCGAATTAGAATTGTTGGGTTCTTCATTTAGACGATGCAGTGCGGTTTAATAATTCCATGCTGGTCTACTAATTACATCTTTATATAGTTATTAACGTCATAAGGCCGATATGTAGCAAATAACGGACGTGGTTGAAGTTTGTAAACCGAGGCGTCAGCCGAGGTTTATATTCAACCAAGTCCGTTATACACGGGCCATTCGTTTCGGAGGTCATCCGCTACCATGCTTGCAGAAAATGGTGGCGATCTCCTAACAGTGAAGGAACTTGGAGGCTGGGATTCATCTGCGGTAGCGGAGTCGTATATTGAAAATTCTGTTTCGAAGCGATTAAAAATCACAAAACAACTATTTCAAAGGTCCAATGGAAAACTCTGAAATTACAACATCCATAGCCACAGCTTCTTCATCAAGTGTAACATCAACAGGTGATAGTGGTCCTCAAGTTTCCTACGATGGACTACAGATTTCTAGCAATAATAACTGTCACTTTAATTTTCATATTCATTATAATAAGTAGTTGTTTGTATTTCAATAAAAGCATTATTTCTTAACGGCCGCATATGCGTCCGTTATTTTTTAACGGACGCCGTCCGTTATGAATGATATTTCATTTGTCAAATGAGTTGAGTTAAATTGAAATAACAGTATGGGATGACGAAAAATTATTTCTGGCCATTGACCGTTGTTTGTGTGATTCTCGAATTGGTTTTAGATCGAAATACGATTTAACTACGTAAGTAGCCGCGAATTGCTTAATCACAATGTTATCTTTTGTTCTAGATCGCTGCCATTAGAAGGTCGAAACAATTTATTTCCAACCGTTCTCATACAGTTACTGTTTTCTAAATCACACTCCTATAAATTTGAGGTATGCTAATTTTTTGTGTTCGAAAGAGAATTTGAAGGTAAATCTTCTTAGGGTTTAATTTCAAGTACTGTATTTTTAAGTGTCGTATTTCATCAAGACAAATACGAACCACATACCATGTCAGTAACTTTTTTTTTTTAGAAAAAGCAGTCATCTAAACTCATGTCACAGGGTTTTCCACCATTTGGCGTATTTTCGCTAGTTTCCCAATACCAATCAAATCAACGGAAAAGCAATCTATTAATTGATATACTAAGAATATTAGCAAGGATTTCGAATACTAAGGTTTTATTATTATGTGCCCTGAATTTAGAAGAAATCGCTACATTACGGTTAAGGCAGTGGACGTTAGATAATAATGAAATTGTCCTTGCGAGAATCAGAAAAAGATTGCGGCGATAAAATAATCGTAAACCAACTTGATCATTAGACTTTAAAAGTTTACTGTTTCAAGACCCCACGAATTCTCTTGATTAACTAATAAATTATGATACTGGTCTGCTAAAATCAATTAATAAAGATTGTTAGTAAAGGTAATAAATAACAGTTAAGAAACAGAATGAAGTAGTTAGCAAAGGACCCATTCACGACCCTCGATATTAAAGGCTAAGATATAATACAGTATTCTGTATTTTTTCTTAAGGGTAATTTAATTAGAACTATACTGATAAGAGATTTTTAACGGTCTTTGCCGGTATCATTTAAAATAGGGAAACGTAAAAATCCGTCTAGGTCAGGATCAAAAGTGCGTGTTTTAATTTAGTCTCAATCGTAATCAGAAAAGAGTTAATCGGCTTATCTTGTAATAAATCGGTTGGAGAGAAATCTCGTCTTTTATTTCATAAACGTAATAAAATACTTCTTGTGGATATCGAATATAAACATAAGTTACTTCGTTTAGGATATTTGTCATCAACCCTTACATACTTTACGTAGTATATAGTATTGGATTTTTCCTTTAAACCAACGCATAAGTCAGACTCTATAGGAGATTCAAATATAAATGTGTATTTTTAAGTAAGTGGGTATCTTTTTCTTATCGCGGTTAGTAACTTCCTTTTTATGGCACATAGACTGCACTTCAGAGATTTACATACTTATTCATTTATTCACTTATTTATTTATTTAGTTGTTTACATATTTATTTATCTATTTATTTATGTATTTATTGTCAGTAGCAACCATGTATAAAATTACCAATTGCTTAACTAATTATACATTTCAGCAATCACAATGCGTCATACATAATCCATGGTATCTAGATTCCAAAAAAAAAACACAACACACCTTGGAACGAGAGCTGTCATCTTAATGCATATTGGACGTGACCTAAAATTTCCACGGACTTCCTTGAATCCAAATTTGTTGATCATTCCTTATTGAATTATGCGTGGTACGTATATAACTCATGATCCGGCCGAATATTCGTAAATAGCAGACGAGTTATCCTTTCGGAAAATTACGCAGCATTTTTGTACAACTTTGCTTTACATAAATATTTGGGAAGACAATCTTGAACCTACAAAAAACCTAATGCCCAAGTGTGCTGAATTGGTATACGCATTTTAGTGAAAAAAATATTTAAATAAACTTTTCTTGAAAAGAATCGAACCTGAGCTCCCCCCGGTTTGCAAGCCGAGTATCCTTGCCACTAGATCATCATGCCGACGCCTGTGGAATTTACAGGACGATCCGGACTCCTGTTTCACTCATGTTCAGAATTACACGAAAACGACATACCTACATTTTAAATCTATTTTTGTAGTATATAACTCAAACTAAGTCGTGCAAAGGCCAAGGATACAAATTTCTCTTATAAAGATTACCAGACTAGACGTCAAAAAAAGATGTCAAAATCGTTATGCCACTTTCCATGGGAAAATCCCAGCAACTCAGTAGCAATGACCAAATAATGTTTACGATAAATTTTATAAGCGATTAAACGCTAGGTACCCTTTTATTAGCGATAAAAATGCGTGTAGGAATGCGTAAAATATATAGTGGCTGTGAAATTTAATGTCTTTTATTAAGATCCCTAAAATACACTCGATCTTGGTTTTAAATCAGGATAATTTTATTTTTAATTCACTCAAATTTTGTTGCCTCGATCAATTCTCGATCAAACGCACCATATATAAGTAAAAGCTGTCGCGAAATTTCGTGTAAAAATAAAATTATCCGATTAAAAATCAAGCAAATTTTAAATAAGCTTCTAAAACTGCAAAACATTGTGCATTTAATCAATTCTTTATTTTTAATAAGAAGAAAGTTGCCCATACAATCCCACACGATCTGGGACACACTGTATAGTGAGACAAGTCACGACCTAACCAAAGACCTCGGTTGTAAACCCTAAACATACCATACCCCTATATTATTGTTATGGTGAGACAGGGCATGTCCTCGTCAAAAGCGGACGCCTGACCTCTTAACCATTAACAAAAATGATAATGTGTATTTTTCGTAACCGTGAGCCCTTGGTGTGAATGTGGGCTCCGTTACGTAACAGAAGTAGGTAGAATACACTTTAATTTCCGTGAAAGATGGTGGCGCAATATTTTACTTATCGGTGTAGAATTATAGTTCAGAATGGGGTCATCCCGCCTTCATTTTTTATTTCTGATCCACAAAGTACATTAAAAATAAAAAGACCCGTGTGTCCTCAATCTTTATTTGCGAGTAAAATAAACCCAAAATAAATTATTGAAAAGCTGTGTTTTTAGTCCGAATTTGAAACGCTTCAGACTAAATACGTCACAAACCTACAACCAATCACGTAGAAGTGAGCTGGCAACCTTACGCGAGGGTCTGACGTTTGTCACATTTGACGTTTTGAGAGGGATGTTTAACTGCATCTAGCACGAAAGTGACAAGTGCCTGTGACAGATGACGCAAGTTATAAATGCCATTCTCCTGCAAGTCGTTATGTCATTTGAATGGTTCTAGGAGCTGATTGGTCGGGCTTATTACGTCACAGAGCCCGCCACAATCATATCGTTTTGAATAAACCTTTAAAACCGCACACGTTCATTATTTTTTTGCTAATCAGCCTCTATTTTTAAATAAATTTTTACTGTCCAAAAAAATGTTTTATGGTTTCAGGTACACGCTTATTAAATTTGAACTGCGGAATTCAACTATACTGTAAACCCCCATTTTGGTCATTGTTCCATTTTCCTAGAACCCTTTTTCATATCTCCGATTTTTGCACAAATGAATTAGCAGCCTATTTTACATACACACACCTTCGCCTTAAACACTGACTAGGAATACAATCTTATAAGAGTGTACAGAACGAAAAATCAGCTAAACGTTATAAAACACTATAAATTATGCGTACAACAGGTCATGTTGCAAATATGATTCATTTTCATTATGATCATGATAAATTAAAAACTAATTGAGACGATACGCATTAAGACATAATGCCAAAATCCCCTTTTTGTCCGTGTTTATACCAACTTTTAATTAAACAAGTACTAAATTTATAAAACAAGTAACAAGCAAAAAAATATTGAATAATTCGTAAACCTGGGGGAAAGTTAGGTCGTATTTCTCAAAAGCAATTAAAGTATAAAATAACAGTCTTCCGATCTTTCGAAATGAAACGGTAATATGCTACCGTCATATTTTAGGTTGATTTTATGCTTTTTAATTAATTCTGATTAAATTTGAGAAAAACCAACAGAAATTTGGCGTGGTGTATACGTATATAGGGTGTCAATTTCAAAGGTGGGCAAAGAAATGGAATTAAAACAACACTTATAACCGAAATTATAAAATCACTGTATACAGCAGACAAAAATAAAAATCGCATAAATCAAATTAACCTTTTGTTGTTATTAGTGCGATTTGTTCAGAAGGTCGGCGTCAGGCGTGCATGAGCCAGGGTATGTTTAAAGTATAGGGTGAAACAATAGAATTAGAAGCCAACACAAAGTATGGTTGTCTGAATTGAACACAATCACCCTTACATCGTCGACCGAGAACGGTGAATAAATTCAATGCCGAGTAATTTTCACAATAACACTCTAATTAGCTACCGTTGAAAAGTTACAAAAAGTAAAACAAAAACGCCAATAATACATTACACAATATATTAAAAAGTCGGGCACGCACTCTATTTATACCAATTAGTTGATTCAGCGCATTCGCGAAAGTATGGACGCTTGTAACAAACTCCTGTCAAATGGGGTACCTACAGAAATAATAATGGCCTTTATTCACATTCCGTTCAAAAAAACACAACTAAAATAATATATACATGTACATACCAAGAATAGAAGAATCGAATTTATGAACCGCAGTGAATGGGCGAAGTTCAGATTAAAATATCTGCACTTACACTTTACCCCATAACACATATAACATTTATTTATGATGGCGAATGAGAATTCTAAGTTATAAAATTTAAAGAGAAAAAAAATTCACTTCTGTAGCGTACAAGTATCAAAAAATTAAAAAAAAATAGAAGTAATCCAATTTTAATTAATTAACACATACATTGACTCTCAAATAACCACCTTTTTGTTTTTATTTTGAATGCCAACCAAGATACATTTTTGAAAGATTCCGGTAGAGCGTTGTAGTGTTTCGCTATGTAGTAGGAGAAGCATTTTTCAAATGAGCTATATTTATGTAAAGGAGTAGTTAGAAGTCCTTTATTCCGAATGTTAATATGATGCACATCCGTACGGAATCTAACTTTATTATATAAGTACTGAGGCGGTTGTATTAATAACACTAGATGTGAGAAACACAAAAAGTGTAGCAACCGACGGTTAGCCATATATATTTTTTTTTTTGTAGTGTTTTATTACTATTTGCAATCAGTATAAATAAAATTACAATACTATAAGCAAATGCATTTGCTGGAACGGGAGTTTGAATTAAAATTTAAAGGAGCTTATATCCAGTGATAATCAGCTCTGTTGTTTCTTAAGCTTTTGTTAAATGTGAAAAGCAATTTAGTTAAACCTGAACGGTAGGTCTAGAGTTTTATATCTCTTCAGTCTATTTGTGTCATTACTGTTGTCTAAGAGATTCATGGCTAGGACATTTGTATGCACTTCCAATTTATTTAGGTATTTTGCACTACACTTACTCACTTCATCTTTGACTGAAATCATTTTTAGGTCGTCGCGGATGTCACTGTTAGGTATAAACCATGGAGCGTCGGTTATAGTTCGCAGCACTTTCGATTGAAACCTTTCCAGTATTTCAATGTTCGAGATTGAAGCCGACCCCCACAGCTCTATGCCGTAAGACCAAATTGGCTTGAATGTTACTTTATACACAAGTAATTTGTTGTTGAGCGAGAGAGTTGAGTTGCGCCCCAGTAGCCAGTAGTGTTTACTCAGTTTATGTCCTACTTGTTTTCTTTTGTTAAGGATATGAGTTTTCCATGTCAAACCTTTGTCCAAGTGTATGCCCAGATATTTTACTGTGTCGGCCTGGGGTAGGTTGTGGCCGTTAAAAGTGACATGGGGTGATGCTCCTTTACACTTTGTGAAGGTCACATGCACAGATTTGGTTTCGTTGATCTTTATGCGCCACTGTCGGGTCCATTGATGTATCTGATCTAAGCCGTGTTGAAGCATCCTCGCAGCGGAGTTGGGATTTTTGTGTTTTGCAAATATAGCTTTGTCGTCTGCAAATGTTGCCGTTTGGTCATTTGTGGGCAGGTCCGCTGTGAACAGTAGGTACAACGTTGGCCCCAAGACACTTCCCTGTGGTACCCCTGCTTTTATAGCGTACAGGTGTGTTACTTCTTGACCGTATTTGATTCTGAAGTATCTTTCCTGTAGATATGATTCTAAGATGATGAATAGCGCATGAGGGAGAACTTTTTTTAGTTTGAACAGGAGTCCCTCGTGCCAAACCTTATCAAAGGCTTGACTCACATCGAGAAATGCTGTTGCGCAATACCCTTTTTCTTCGAATGCCTGGTTGATAACCTCAGTTACCCGGTGGACTTGTTCGGTCGTCCCATGGCCTTTTCTGAAGCCGAA